TGAGATCTCGTGCTTCAGGTGTCAACCTTGCATCCTCAGGGAATACCAAATGAGTTCTCCATCCCACAATCTAAAATCCATCATGAAAACATTGGGATAATGAAAAGAATGTCAATTTCGTGCCGGAGAGAAAGAAAAGGTCTGCAATAACAGAGCAACGCAAAACATGTTTTGGAAATATTGAACACTTCTTCTATCTAAAACTATCACAGCATCAATAGTATCCTTTTAAAGAAATAAAAAAGAAAAAAAGTGAATATACTGTAATTAGTAGCAAAGAGACCTTTCTACATGTTGTTACGGGGTCATCAGAGTAAAATGGGGGATAACCAACGAGCATCTCATACATAATGGCTCCCAAAGACCACCTGCAGTTAAATCAATGTCTATGAGTCAGATGAATGGAACTAGAAACGTGTGGTAGCTGCTCTATACGAAATGAAGTAGTAAGAAAAGAAAGCAAGCTGATCATGAAACAACAGTTCTATGGGTGACCTACCAGTCACATTCTACACCATATCCCTTCTTCAGCAATACTTCAGGGGCAATATAATCAGGGGTACCAACAGTTGAATATGCCTGTTACGAATCCAGAAGACATAAATCCAAAGGAGCAGTTTAAAGCACACCCCAAATGTTATAGAGGGCTACTATCATAATTAAAGGCTTAAAACAGAGTTTTTTTTTTGTCAATACAAGTTTTCTTCTGTGTATCTGCCAATGTTGCAGCTGTTCCAGTGGGCTTCTCCAACGCCTCCCACGGCGTCCTATCGTGCAGTGCTCATCACATTCGATTGATTCATTCGTATTCTCATCATTCAAAGGTTCATTTACGTTCATAGCCGAAAGATGTCTACAGTCGAGAGGCTTACAAAGACCAAAATCTGACAGCTTCATATGACCATTCTTGTCCAACAGAAGATTGTCTGGTTTTATATCCCTACAAAAGATTGTCTACCTTCAATATATATATATACATCCGGTTTTAACACTGCATTCATTCATCTTAATGAGACCAACCTGTGAACATAATTATGTTCATGTATCGACTCAATAGCCAAAACACTTTGTGCAATGTAAAACCGAGCCACCGTCTCAGTCAAAGTCTCTTCCCTCATAAGCAAAGTCATCACATCACCACCGGACAAATACTCCATGATAAGGTATAAGTATTCTGGATCTTGGAACGAATAATAAAGCTTCACAATACAGTCACTAGCAACTTCTGCTAGCAAGTTCCTCTCAGATCTAACATGTTCAACCTATTTCGAACGATCAACCAAAAAGGGTATCTTAGACTTGTATGCATATATGTAAATACAAAGAGATAATTGTAAGACTCACTTGCCCTCGACTAAGCATTTCAGACTTCTTCAGCTTCTTCATGGCATAAATGTTGCCAGTCTTTTTCTCACGGCATAGTCTTACCTAATTAAGATACCACATTTTAACAAATAATTACAATAGTTCAAAGTTGGTGAATCGTAAATACATAAACACACACAAAAAAAGACTAACCTCACCGAAAGCCCCTCTACCAATAATACTGAGAAGATCAAAATCATCAACGCAAAGCCTGTTCCTCATTAACCTAGTATACTCTGTCTCTTTCCTCTGCAAATCCTCCAGCAACTCGAGTTGTTCCTTCTCTGATACATCTAAAGCTGCTATCTTTTGTTCTAGCACCAAACGCCTGCAAACTCAAAACCAATTTCAGATTATTTAACCCAAAAAAAAAAAAAAACATTACAGCTCCTAGAACAACAAAATTCAGACAACATATATAATATGCCTGAAATTTCGTAAAATTCTGGAAAAACACCACTTTATTATTCTCTTAGGAATATCAACGAACACATGGTGTGCATTAAAGTACCTTTCTTTACGTTGTTGGATGTGCCTCATGCGTTTGTTGTAATGGTCCTCTATATACTTCTTCGCTGCAGCAACTTTCTCCAATGTCGAATTCGAAACCAACCCTTCATCTTCCGACGTCGGAGATGACGTCATCCTCTCCGCCACATCCTCCTCTTGACCCGTTTCACAATTCTCCATATTTTTTCTTTATCACAGGAACAAGTCTTTTCTCTCCTTCTCTCTCTCTAAATGCAGAGAAACTTTCGCATTTGTCCTTCCATCAATTGTGGTTGCGAGAACGAAAGCAACTCTCTCTTCTCCATCACCAATGTACAAGTTTGGAATTCAGATGAAGGAATCAGTAATTACCTTTGAATTTTTTGGTGTTCTGTTTTTGCTATATATGGAAGGGGAGAATATCAAAAACATTCCACAAACTATGGTGACTCGACACGTGGATCACTAATAATTGATGAAATGTTATTTTTGATAAACTTAGAAACTTTTTTTTTAACTTAGAAACTATTATATATGAAAAGAACTTTTTAGATTTATAGCCCGACTTTTATATGACTGGATTCTGTTCCAAACCTTTTTTAGAATTTATAGCTTTAAGCTAAAACAATTTCTTAAAGTACATATAAAGTTAATAATTATAAGAAGGTTGAGATATACCCCCCCCCCCAATAAAAATGTATATTGATTTTAGAGTGAATTGGGTAGAAATCCATAAGAAAATGGGAAATTAGGGATTTGCCATTTTTTGTGGGGAAAATAATAATGTGTGGGGAGGAGAGATAAAGGAAGAAATAGGGTATGGAGTGAATTATGAGGTTTAGTGTGTGTATGGAGTGCAAATACTCTTGATTTTATGCCTTGATAGTTTGCATAGTTTCTAATTATTTTTCGGGTTTTAAATTTGTAGTTTTGATTTTTCTGTAAATTTTTAGTATTTTTTAAACTTGATGGTAAATTTTTTTAATATATTGCATTATCTTTTTAAAACCTTATGCTTTTTAAATGTCGTTTTGTGTGCTTAAAAATATTAAAACTATATTTTCAAAAAAAGATATTTGTACAATCTTATTTATAGCAGAATGAAAGCAACTATCTCTTCTTCACAATGTATAAGTTTGGAATTTAGAAAAGGGTATTAGTAATTACCTATTTAGGTTGTTTATTTTTGTGATATATGGAAAAGAAAATATAAAACATCCCACAAGCTATGGGTGTGATTGATTGGTGTTGTAGTTTTAGGTTTTTTACTTTAAAAATGATGCTGTAAGTTTTATGGTTGTAGTTTTAATTTGTTTTGCTGTAATAATATTTCCAAAGACATTGAAAGTACTAAATAAAAACTGTTGAAAATTGATTGCCGGAATCAACATATTTCATTTTCTAATTTTTATGCTCTAGATTCATTTCTTAAAGTCAAAGCATGATTGTTTTACAAAAGGGCTTTAGAAATAAAAATGGATTTCTAGAGCATCGGGAGCTCTTAAGTCAGATAGATCACTAATAATGGATGAAATTTTATTTGTGACAAAAAAAAAAAAATGGATGAAATTTTATTATTGATTTAAGTTACAAAAAAAAAAAAATTATTATTGATAAACTTGAAAACTCTAAAGAAAAAAAGTAGAATATGAACTGCCAGACTTTTATATTAACTGGTTTATGTTTCTAATTTTCCTTGAATTTAAACCATCAACTGAAACAATTTCTTATATAGAATACCTATATGGTTTAATAATTAAAAAGGTTCAGATATATTCCAAAAGTTGTATTCATTTTGATTTTGAGAGCTTGATTGTTTCCATTTTTTTTTTTTTTTGAAACACTGCTTGATTGTTTCCATAATTTCTAGTTTTTGGTTTTAGAGTTTGTGTGGTTTGCATTTTTATATACATTTTAGTTCTTTTTAAAATTGAACTTTCATTTTTTTGGTTTTAATATACTATTTTATCTTTTAACAAAGTGTTATGCCTTTTCATTTTTGTTTTAGGTGTTTAAAATATTGTAACCATATTTTTTTTTAAAAACAAAGAATATTTCTGACAGAAATATAACTCACAAAAATTATAAGTAATAATAACTACTATAAATAAAATATACATAAATCTTATTTCATATAATGAACATAAATTATTTCACATAATGAAAACGAAATTTTGTATGGATGTAACATTTTTGTATTTAGAAGTTTTATTTTATTTAAAATAGCATTTAAATAATTATTAGTTGTCAAAAAGCAGTAATATCTGAGAAGAAAAAAAATCAAATAGAAAACACACATATTGTAGAAAACATGTTACTCCCTCCGTTTTATATTAAGTGTCGTTGTAGAGAATTTTTTGTGTTACAAAATAAGTGTCGTTTTCGGTTTTCAATGCAAAATTTATTAATTTTATTATATAATTTGTTTTTCTATTGGTTAAAATATGGTTAGGTGTATGGGTAATTGTGTTTTTATATAGGAAATATGTAAAATTAATTGTTTCCTTCATCCGTGTGCATAGTTGTAGAGTGACACTTATATTGAAACAGAGGGAGTATGAAATAAGAAAAACTCTGAAAAAAACTAGTTTCTCTATATTTTAGAAATTTATTTGTTAAAAACCATGACTGGCTGATAAAATGTTTTTTTTTTGAAAATACTAAAACCAAAATTTGTTTCGAAATCTGAAACAATCCAATTTCGTAACTTGTAGTCTTTACTGAATTATCAAATATAACTATATTATCTTGATTTTTCATTGATAAATTTTTAATACTGACTTGGTTACGTGTGGATAATTCTTCAGAAAATCTAAACAACCGGTTTGTATTCAGTTGAAACTTTACCAATGATGTTAGATAGAAATATATAAAACCAGGGAGGGCATGCAGGCTTAAATTCAACCAGTAACCAGATAAATAGATAATATACAACAAATCTTTACTGTATTTTTCATTTGCATGGGTTTACAAAACATAAACCAAACCACGCGTTAGACCTTATAAACCAAATACTTGCACCTCCGCTGCTCCGCACCCTTTTTTTACCTCCGTACTTCTTTTTTGCAGAATAATCATCAATGAGAAATCAACAATATGCTATATTTACCACACAAAAAAAAAAACATGCTATATTAACAACGGCATCAGAAAACCGCTCTTGATTTCCAATCGTGGATCGCAGACCGGAGTGTATTGTTCGGTGTTAACTTGAAGTGGTCTAGCTTTTGTCTAGTCACCGGCGAAATGTTATGTGTCTCAAGCCACGCTAAGATCGCTCTTTTCTCGTACGTGAATCCATCAGCTGCAATCTGTGGTTCCTCCATTATCTTCTGTTTTGCAAAAAAAAAAAATATATATATATATATATATATATATATATATATATATATATATATGTATATTAATTAAGACCGGCTAAAACATTTTTGTACCTAAAATCATGTATCGAACAAAGGTAAAACTTTTACTTACTCGTAAAAGGGGACAGAAATAATGACTTGGTGCACACAAATTGCTTTGTTCTTTCTTTATCTTTGAATTTGCAGTTTCTACAAGCCGTTTCAAAACCGGTATAACCTCTTCTTTAAGATCCGGTCTATCTCGCCACCAAAATTCTGCACATTTTAAACCGGTCATTGCTAATTCCTCAGTTTCCTCCAAAGGCCAGTCAATAACTGATTTGTCTAGAATTTCGGTTAACGTTCCTTTCGTTATTGCATTTTTGACTGCGTGTACAAGCCCGCCCGCCTCACGAGCCGTCAACAGCTGAAGAATGGTTATCCCGAAAGCGTAAAGATCCGATTCGGGTCTCATCGTTCCAGTTCGATGGTACTCCGGGTCAATGTAGTGCTTATACATCGTAACATCATTCGTAACCAGCTTCGCTAGACCGACATATGCGATTTTGCTCACATGGTTCCGGTTTAACAGGATGTTTTCCGGTTTTATATCGCCGTGAATAATTGGTTCCGGTTTAGAGCTGTGTAAGAAGGCTAAACCGCAAGCTACCTCGAAAATTACTCTAAACCGGATAAACCAAGGCAAAGGCGGTTTATTTTTCTGGTGAAATATATATTCTTGAAGGCTTCCGTTTTCCAAATACTCGTAAACCAGACAACCATTCTCTGGACAAGCTCCTAGGAGAAGAACCACATGTGGGTGTCGGAGTTGACTAAGAACCTCAACCTAAACCATATATAAATCAAACCGGATCAAACCAAAATCTCAACTGTTACCTAACATTAAACATATGAATTTTTTTTAAAAAATAAATAAATAATTTGAACAAAATATATGCTTTAGTTACCTTTTTCAAGAACTCTTGTTTCTTTTCTGACGTATCTAGTCGGAGAACCTTGACAGCCGCCGGTGTACTATCAAGGCTACAGTGGTAAAGTTTACCATATCCTCCTTCTCCGATCGCTTTTTCTGGTGAGAATCCATCAGTGGCTGTAACAATCTCTCCGATTGTATATTTCCTGTACTGTTGATCCGTTTCTAGGTGCTGATCGGTCACTTTCTTTTCTTCCAAGTAAGTCTTTAAAGCATTTGTCTCTACCATTTGTCGTTCACAAAATTCTCTCGCAAGCAAATCTTTTGCAGCTTCTACCTCTTTAACTTCCTTCATATGCCTCTCTTTCTCCAGAGCCGCGATTTTCCTCTGCAACTCTTCTTTCTCCACAGCATTGTTTACTCTTCTAGCGTCTTTCGTACATTCTGACAACAACACTTGAACCTAGCAGAAACACCAAAAGAAATAATTTACTTGACTGACAAGCAAACAAAATCCTTCTTTATTTTAAAAAGTATCAATCAGAGGTGGTTAGGTGAAAACAAAATGTATACGTTTGGAAGACCATTCGTACAAAAAAAGAGGGATAGAGGAAAAATGAATATATTCGAATGTAATTAGATCATTATTTATAATGAAAGGTTTGATAAATTTTGGAAAACAACAAGAAAAGACAATGGCTCAAATTAAGTGGAGTCCTAATCGAGTACACCCCTTGCATGAAATAAAATGTGACTCTCATAGATAGTTGTCTACATACTATGAATCTATCGAATGTTATGTACTTTATCTCAAAAATAGGTTTGTGTAAAAAAAAAAACAGTTTGCGGAATGATTGTTTAAGGATTTAAGACAATAATTGTATCCAAATGTACCTTGTTATGTGTGGAGAAAAGCTCTTGACAAGCTTGTTTATACTTAACAACCGTATTTTCTAACTCCTTCTTCAAATGCTCGACCTCTGCTTCAATCTCAACCTAACAAACACCAAATCCTCAAACTCTCTTCGATTTCTTTTTTACTAGTTTCATTACTGAATCAAAAGATCATGATAAAAATACCTCCTTGGATTTTCCAGATGTTTCCGAATCAGAGCCTCTTTCTTGTCGAATGATGTTGTCAAGACTCGATTGGGGTTCGGTTGTTATATCAAAATCTGAGTAATTTAGATGGGGAATATCTGATTTTCCACGACGCCTTACAATTTTTGGATCTATTGCACTTGCAACCTTACTAATTTGAGGCCTTTTGGGTTGACTATAACCTAGGCTTAATGCCCCTAATCTCGACTCACTAGTCGTGGCTGACCTCGTCCCTACCTCTTAACCAAAAGAAAGAGAAAAAATCTCAGCTTTCATAGAGATCATACCAATTGATGCATTTTTCCGTTGAAACTTTCAACGTCAAATTTGATATTGAATTGATATTATCACTTTTATTGTTACTTGGCTTCAAAATTCAGGTTTCTGTTATTTTTAACTCTTAAACTCCGTCTTTAAGTGTATAAAACTATAAAAATTATTAATATTCATATTTTTTTAAACAATGATACATACTACAACTTCTAAATCAAAACGTTAGCAGACAATAATTATGCGCGGGACCGGGATCATTGATGTTTACCTGTGTTTTTTTTAGTTGTTGGTTTAGTGGATTCTTCTAATAATACCAAATAATGATGAAATGGAAAGAATGTAGTAAGAGTGTAAAGTGAAAATATTGTATATATAATATGCTAAATATTATTCATATGTGAAATAAGGTTTATATGAATAATTAAACTATAATATAGTTTCTAGTGAGTAAAAATAGGTGTCTATCTTGTTTTTTATTCTTTTATCCTGTAAATAGTTTTTTATATCAGAGGTCAAAACTTGATATAATTATTTATTTATAGTATTTATATTTGTACTAAACGATTTATAAATTTGAAAATGACTTTAATTTAAGCTAATATGTGTTGTTTGGGTTTCATTAGATAGATTTTTTTGTAAGTTTGGATTTTGTTCATGAATAATGTGGCATTTTTATTTACAGTGTCATCGACTGTGGAAATCCATTCGCCGGAGTCTGATAAATAAATGAAATTACAGTAACTATTAAAAATGTAAGAGAAATTACATATTTATTTTATAAATAATGAAAAATACTTAAATTTTGTTGTTTTTAATTTTATTTTACATACATAATTTTTGAAAATATATATTAGGAATTATGTTCTTATAGAAAATATATATTAGGACATGATAGGACCCGCGTGGGACTCGTTTGATTTTTTTTTGTTTTTTGGACTGTTTGTTGTGATCCATTTTTAATTGTTTTTATATTTGAATTCGTTAAACTTTAGGATTTTCCTACTATTCTGACTTTAAACAATAAGCTCAGAGGAAAAAAGCATAAAAACATTAAAACCAAAAAGCTCATATGATAATAATTCAAACGAAAAAAAAACTAAAATACTTAACAGCTACGTGGTTAGAACCCCTCACGATTGCAGACTTAATTAGATATCTTAAACCATTCGGCTAATGTGTATTCATTGTTCATAGTCATTTTTAAAAAACTATAGACTTTTAAAAATTAAACGCACGAGACCCACAAAATACTGATGTGGACACTTTGAGAAGCCTTGAAAGTGTACTATTATATATAAGATTAGTAATTCATATTATTAGTGTAAACGCACTACACAACCCAATATGACCTAAAACGTGTATGTATATATGTTTTAATATAAAACAAATTGCAACTGGATTATTAATTTTTGGAATTTAATTGTATGGGCCGACTTATTCCATTAATTCTATTAATTTTTTTCACCATTTGAAATGAATGGAATGAAATACTCATTTCATCAATTTCAAGAACATTCCAAAAAAATATACGAAGTCCTCTACAATTTTGATTGTGAATGAATGAAATGAAATAGAATTTATTTCATTTTTGATGTATTTCATCCCTATCATTCCATTTACTAGTTGCATACCCCCCGCGCAAGCGCGGAGCTGGGGATCATTGATGTTTGCCTGTTTTTTTTTTGGTTGTTGGTTTAGTGGGTTATTCTAATAAAATCAAATAATGATGAAATAGAAAGAATGTAGCAAGAGTGTAAAGTGAAAATATTATACATATAATATGTTAAATGTTATTTATATGTGAAGTAAGGTTTATAGGAATAACGAAATTATAATATAGTTTCTAGTGTATAATAATAGGTGTCTATCTTGTTTTTTATTTTTTTATGTTGGAAATAGTTTTTATATCAGAGGTCAAAACTTGATATAATTATTTATTTATAGTATTTATATTTGTACTAAACGATTTATCAATTTGAAAATAACTTTAGTTTAAGCTAATATTTGTTGTTTGGGTTTCAATAGATAGGTTTGGATATGTTTTTTTTGTAAGTTTGGATTTTGTTCATGAATAATATGGCATTTTTATTTACGACGTCATCGACTGTGGAAATCCATTCGCCGGAGTCTGATAAAAATGAAGTTAACTATTAAAAATTGAAGAAAAATTACATAGTTATTTTATTAATAACAAAAATACTTAATTTTGTTGTTTTATTTTATTTCACATACATTTTTTTTTTGAAAATATGTTATAACAGAAATATATATTAGGACATGATAGTGCCACGTGAAACTCATTTTGTTTTAGGGATGAAATAGAAATAATGTAGCAAGAGTGTAAAGTGAAAATATTGTATATATAATGTGTTAAATGTTATTTATATGCGAAGTACGATTTATAGAAATAACTAAATTATAATATAGTTTCTAGTGTATAATAATAGGTGTCTATCTTGTTTTTTATTTTTTTATGTTGGAAATAGTTTTTATATCGGAGGTCAAAACTTGATATAATTATTTATTTATAATATTTATATTTGTACTAAACAGTTTATCAATTTGAAAATAACTTTAGTTTAAGCTAATATTTGTTGTTTGGGTTTCAATAGATAGGTTTGGATATGTTTTTTTTGTAAGTTTGGATTTTGTTTATGCATAATGTGGCATTTTTATTTACGGCGTCATCGACTGTAGAAATTCATTTGCCGGAGTCTGATAAAAATGAAAATATAGTAACTATTAAAAATTGAAGAGAAATTACATAGTTATTTTATAAATAAAAAAATACTTAAATTTTGTTGTTTTATTTTATTTCACATACATAATTTTTTGAAAATATATATTAGAAAATAGGTTCTAACAGAAAATATATATTAGGACATGATAGTACCACGTGGGACTCATTTTGGTTTTTGGTTTTTAGACTGTTCGTTTTTTGATCCTTTTTAATTGTTTTTGGGTCTGAATTCGTCAAACTTTAGGAAACAATAAGTCCAGAGGAAAAAAAGCATAAAAACATTAAAACTAAAAAACCATATGATAATAATTCAAAAAAAAAAACTAAAATACATAACGGCTACGCGGTTTGAACCCACACACTTGTGGACTTCATTAGATGTCTTATACCACTGGGCTAAAGTATATTCATTGTTCATATTCATTTTAAACGAACTCTAAACTTTTAAAATTTAAATGCGCGGGACCTACAAACTTGCTGATGTGGATAGCTTTAGGAGCCTTAGAAGTGAACTATTATTATATAGATTTGTATTCCATCGATTCTTTATTATTTTACCAATTACCTATAATTTTTTTTCGCTAACAACTGTTTGTATATGTACAAGTAAGAACTGAGTCATTTTCTTTTGATTTTGATTTGACTATACATTTAACCCCATAAATGAATCAAAATGGATATCTATATAATTTACCTATAGATTCTCGACGATCAGATAACGTTGGNATTTGTATTCCATCGATTCTTTATTATTTTACCAATTACCTATAATTTTTTTTCGCTAACAACTGTTTGTATATGTACAAGTAAGAACTGAGTCATTTTCTTTTGATTTTGATTTGACTATACATTTAACCCCATAAATGAATCAAAATGGATATCTATATAATTTACCTATAGATTCTCGACGATCAGATAACGTTGGACCATGTACAGTGTGGAATCTAGCCACTCCTTTCAGGTAACCGTGGGTGGTCATGGCTGCTTTTAGACTTATGCACGGCACTGATAATTATACGGTTAAAGACGGTTTAACAGAAGTTTCTAGAAGCTAAAGTACAGTATATATCGTATAAAATGACCTGATGGCTTCTTAGATTTTGTAGTGATTCTGTCTTTATACACAATATGTACTTCACATGTTTCTGGAGCGTATTTTAAGACAGTCGATGGTACTCCTGGACCTTTTATTCTCCTAAACCCGAAACAAACCGGCCAGTTAGGGTAAATAACGTATTGTATTTAAAGAAAGTAAATCAAACTGAGCTATGCAATGTACCGTGTGAATATGTTAGACGTGAATGATCCCATAACCAAACTGTTAAATCCTGATGTGTTTATGAATCGTAGAAGCCCCTTTGCTGGATCATCATACTCTAGCACGAGAGTCTCTACCTCAAACTGAAGGTTACATAATTAAGGGAATTCACAACTTGATCCTAAATAAAGCTTCGATGGATTTATGAATTTGAACTGAAGATAAAAATAAACCAACCTTGGCATTACTACTCTTGCACATTTTCAAGAAGGGAATAAATACTGCTTCAAATTCTTGTTTCTTGTCCCTCACATACATTTCCACCACTCTCTCATCAACTTCCTCCAGCGGTAATCTCTTTCCGGCTGCAACAACCACCATTCTCATAAACATTAATGTCTAGAAAAATGTCATGAAATTACTAGTCGATCATCAGCTAAATTTCATCAATGAAATATCAAAGTTTGATTCAGGAGAGTATACAAATATTCAGTTCTCATGTATCCAATCAATCATGGATGTTACAACAACAAAAAGACTAAAGTTCAACGAGTTTTCGAAGATTTTAATAGCAATTCATAATAGTGTTATAAATTCATCTAAAACTATATAGAACTTACCCAAACTCAAATCGTTTGACAGAATACAACACATCATTTTAATCTTCGAAAACAACAACAATGGTCTTGTTACAAAGTACAAAAAACTAATCAGTAGTAACGTTTGAACACGTATGCTATATATATACAGAATTATGATCTTAATTAATTAAGAAAACAATTGATATTTGTACCAAATGTTTCAGCATACATCCTTTTTGCTTGTCTTTTTTTTTTTAACTTTAAAAAAAAATGAAATAAGCAAAAATGATTCATGTGGAAAGTGAATTATGTTAACTTGAGAGGCTTACTAGGAGTAGGGATAGTCGTAATGTTGGGGATGATGTGGATCATCATAAACCGACAAGCTTTAGGTAAAAGATTATCGACAGCCCACCGTACCGCACGGCGGCTTCCTGCGCCGCCCAATTTATCTCCGATGATACCTTTCACGGCTACGGCAACAAACAACTCACCCTCCTCCACCTTTGGACCACCGCCACCGACGCTCATTTCTCGACCCTATTGCGTCAACATTGCCATCCAAATCTATGATGTTGCAGAGATGGGTATCTCTAATACTAATATATAGTATTGATATAATTGGAAAGTTGTTCTAGTATTGTTTCTGTCTTATAGTGTTTTTCTGAAAAGGATCAAGAAAATAATTTGAACTTGTAAACTAAGTTGGGCATTGTTTAATTTGCCAGTTTTTTTTTGCTAAACAAACAGATAGTTTGGTCTAGGCTGGGAGTTTCTGGAAATCATGGTGTTGCAGTCACGAATATATAATTTATTGGAAAATACATTAAGGCAAACGCTAACAGAAGAAGTAATCTATTGGACGGGGTCATGGAGATGGTTTTCAACTGTTTAATTATAAGTTTCCCATTAGAGGTTGGTTATGGACGGCAACTAGCTATTTTCTATTCTATTAAAACAAAATAGAATCATAGTATAAAACGTAATACATATTTCGTTGACAAGAGATTTAGCAAAACTAGTAATTTTTATATCAAAAATTTTATAAACTAAAGATAACAATGATAAATAAAATTTTATTTAAAATGATTAATTCATAATATCTATATATTGTAGATTTAATTAAAAATACATTTTCAGAAATATTTTTGTTGAAATTCATAATTAATATTAAATATGATTAAAACTACTATTAAAACTTTATGTCAAAACGAAATAAAAAATTATGCTTAAATTTAGTTTATATTAAAACTAATATTACATAAATATTGATATTCAAACTAATATTAATATTTTGAATTAAATATTAAAGATCAACACAACATATATAGAATTTTAAACTATCATATATTATTATTTTATATAGTTATGTTTCTATAAAGTTGTAAATTTAAATGTATATATTATAACATAAATATGCTATTTGGTTATAAACATTTTAATATAATTTTAAATATTTTAAATCAACTTAATATAAAATAAAAATAATCTTTTTATTTTTAAATTTTACGCTTTTGCCGTTTTATGTGTTAATATATAATAAAATGATATATATATATATATATATATATTTAAGCAACCAAAGATGATATAAATATTTTAAAATAAATATTTTATAATAGTTGCTTAATTTATTACTCTCAGTTTAAATATTTTATAGTTTCTCTGTATAATCTAATATTTTTAAATTAGTTATGTGATTTTGTAAATGTAGTATTTAGTTGGTTTAGTTATCACTTATGCATATTAGATTACATCTACTTCTTTGAATTCAACCATAATATTTTGTTTTTCTAACTGTATTAATATTTTGATAATTTTTTTTTAAGAAATAGGTTGATTGTTCTCTTAAGTTTAGAAATATATGTTAATATAACATATTCTTTTTTGAGAATCAAATAGACAAAATAAATTGAAGTGTGGACTAATTAAATGTTACGTAAAGATAATATTTTGAATCTCATGCATATATATACATACAAAAGAAATAAATTGGTAAACTTATTTAATAATTTATTTTTATTTTTAATATTTTTTGAGGTATCCATAATTATATCTATAAATTTAATAAAAATATCACTATAATATCAAGATTATTTTGTTAACTTTACTATTTTATGAAATCACATTATATATAAATATGATTAAAAAATAGTTGTTAAATAAAATTTTCCTTTTATTAATATATATATATTAATTTGAGAAATAAAAAGGTAATTAAATTAAACTAACAGAAAATACCAAATAAAAAAGAAAATAAATTTAATAATGGTAATTGAATATAATATTTTAGATTGATTAGCGGTATCCCCGTAATATACAACCGTTACCGTGACAGCGACACATATGAAACTCACTTCTCAAATAATATTATAGAGATTTATATTCACAAATCTAATAAGATATAAATATATATAGCAATATAATAAAACTGAAATAATTGCAGGATTTAATATCGAAATTTTAAATATTTTAATTAATAATATAGTGAATGATGTGGATAGAAACCTGATCTATTTTATTAAAACAGCAACCTTTGAAATTAACCTTTGAGACACTATAAATTTAATAAAGTTACTTTGGTCATTATCTGTTTTTTTAAATATAACTATGGACAAAAACATGTGACTTTGATTGGACATAAATAGTTTACGACGCGGCCCTGTAAAGTTACTGAGAAAAAGACATAACTATACATATATGTAGATTTTTATTAGCTTAATGAAACATTTAGTAATAATTTTCATGTAAATTTAATTCTTATTAATTTATACAGTAATACATTTTCATTGTAATAATGTTTGTGTTTAACACAATAATAAGAATTTTTATTTTATATAGAAATTTTATGAATTAGTTTTACTAGGTAGTGATCCGCGTAATGCACGAAGTGAAATAGTTGATTAGATTATTTATTTTACGTTGTATTAAAGAGATTAGTCATATAGCTTTTTCTAAGAATTTCATTGAGATATCCGTTCAGATTCAGTTGACCTATTCAGATTTCAACTTTTTAGAGTTAAAAAAAATTAAATCTGATTCGGATATTTACAAATTCCGGATTAAGTTTGGTACGAATCATTGTGGTTTGGTTTGGGTTTGAGTTCGTATAACCATTTTAATTATGTATTTTTAATAAAAATCCGAATATATTTAAGTCCTCAATATAAAATAATATAAAACATAAATGAATATTGTAAGACCAAATACTTAAAATTTACATAAAATTTAGTTTGATTTAAATATTTTGATGGAGAACAAATAGATATATTCAGTATTTTGACCATTTTTGTTATTTTTTTTATATTTACTTGTGAGTATATACTTTGATAATTCATAGTTTTCAATATCGAATATGATGAGAACATTCAGCCTAAACCAGAACCGGACCTAACTGAACCAGAAATTCAAGACATGATCACCAAAACAACCCAACCAAAAGCAGCCCAAGAAGTGCCAATGACGACTGTGTTTAAGGGACCCATCACTAGACAAAGAGCTAAGATACTTCAACATAAGTTTAATGAGAGTATGATGCTTGCTTTTGATCATGGACAGGTTAAACCAACTGATGAACAAGCTGATGCCAACACAAGCTGTTTGAAGAATGAAGAAACAAGCTTAAAGAATGAAGGACCATCCGAGAAGGCTAAAGCGTCAAGTGAAGATCTTTGGCCCTTCACAACAACTTGCTGGTCATCACTCATCAGCATACATGATCAGCATCTTTAACCAATGCAAGAGCCAATCAAACCAGCCAAAAAGGTAAGCAAGGTAAGCATTTGAATTATGATTTCTAACGATTTGATTGTTTGTTTTGCAGCTTGTTTTCTTTAATTTTTAGTGTTTTTATTTTCTAGTTTTCTAGCTGGCTTGCATACCTAATAGGGTTTTATTTTCAGTACCAAACTTAGGTATTATTTGCTTCAAAGTCCCAAGAAGGCACCCACTGCATTGGACGTCTATATAAGTTCCCTATAAGCAGTTTTTACTTTTTTACGCATGATATAAAACATAAAATTTCTTCTAAAGAAAACCCTAGAGTTCTCAAGCAAGAACTCGCCTCCTGTTTGGTATCACGAGCCTTCCATTTCTCATGTGGTGCATTTCGATCCATCCATCCGTTACTGTCCAGATCCTTTTGGTTGATTAGATCAGTCCAACCG